TTTTTTTAATGTTTTTGCCGGAGAGAGACATAGAGAGAGGCTATGAGAAATCACTACTACCATCCCTTCTCCATTTTCTCCTTTTTTGAGATTTTAGGCATGCATGCACACTTACATGGTGTGTTTTACAAGCCACTAGGTCTGGAACTCAGACTGTGCAGTTGACTGTGTGAGGTCCAGTTCCTTTACCCATTAACCATTGAGCAGGTTGGTTGGTCAGTATTTCTGAGAGTACCACACCTGGGGTCATGGTGTCTGTCTCTTCCTTCATTGAAGGTCCTACTTTTCATCACTCAATCCATGTTTTGTACATTTTCTCTAATTTATCTTTATCATGTTTCTTTTAGCAGCTAACAAATAGTATCTAGGGAAATGCTTTGAGACCATATGTAAACAGCCAGCTCCTCATCAAACATTCCTTCTCTATTACAATTAGCATTCATTATTGATTCTTGCTGAACCAATCTTGTTTTTGTTTTTGTTTTTCTAACTTTTGCCAGAGAGAGAGAAAGTGAGACAGCATCTCCCATGGAGAATGGTGGTGCCACAATCTTTTCTTTACCATTTCTTTTGCCTTTCAGGATTTTAGCTATGCAAATGCACATGGCTGTCGTGTTTCTCAAGCTGCTGGGTCCAGGAATCAAACTGGGCTTTTGGCCATGTAGGAACCAGCTTCCTTAATTACCACTGGCCTGGCTGAACCAGTCTTCACTGTACTGGTTGTAAAATAGATATGTTCCAATTCTTTTTTATTGTTCTGTATTAATAAATGTGTGTTTAAAGTTTATTCATGAGAGAGCTCAGAAGCGTATGTGAGAGAAGAAAAAACACACTCCACAGGGTCTTCTCTCATTGGTCCCCTTTCCACAGCTCTGCAGCTTTTCAGGATCTTGGGTCATGCACACATCTACCCTGTATGTTTTCAAGCTGGAAATCTGAACCTTTAGTCAGCCATGTGGCTTTTACCACTGCAGTTCAATTTGGTACTGATGGCACCAACACTCTGGGCCTTAGTTAAGTAGTAGATGTTTTAACGTTTTTTGCCATAGGGTGCTTGTGCTCTCCAGAGACAGAGAGAAAGTGAGAAATCATGCACTTGGGGGGACGGCTAGAATGCAATCCCTTCTCCATTCTTCTCTCAGGATTTTGGGCACACACGCACAAGCTCCCAGTGTGAGTTTCAAGTTGCCAGGTCCAGACTCGAATTGTGGTAAGCCATGTGGTAGTCCAGCCGCCATGCCACCTGTTGGCTGTAATAAGTATAATTTTTAAAAGTTTATTTTTACTAGTGCTCTAAGAAAAATCAACCTAAATATACAGATAATTTTTATTAATTAAATTGGCTTTTCAGTTTTTATCTCCTGAGTTGAGAATAGCCACTTTGGGAAAGGTTTTTAGAGAAACAGTCTCTCTTATTTGCTTCTGTTAGGGTATTCATCTTTGTAGCTTTGGTGCTGAGCATCTTTGAACAAATGGTATGAAACTCCTTTTAACATTTTGTAGATTTTTCTCTGACTCACTAGTTTTACATCTTTGTATTTATTCCAAGGATGTATATACCAATTTGAGTAGAGAACTGGATCTCTCCAGTGTTTATATAGTAATGAACAATTTATAGAATAGGTAAAATGCATCACCCATGCAGTGGTCTGTTACAGAGTCATTAAACATGTATAGCCATTCACAATAAACTATGTGTGAGATCATGCAGGACAATATATTAAGTATTCTGTTTTCATTTAAAAAAATTTCAAATAAATAGTTTTTGTATTAGGTGGTCAGTTGCTTTATGGGATGCAATTTTTTAATTGTTTTTTTTTGTTTGATATGTGAAAATGTAACTGAAAATTTAGTGGTGGGAAGGATATGTATTAATGATTCTTAGATAGGAATTAGGCTGTATGAGTTTTCTGGATAGTAATGTACATTTTGTAGATTTGATAGTCTGAGAGTCAAAGGTGTCTGTCTTAGGAAAAATTACTTTTAGCCCCAAGGGCACTAATTTCATTTGTAAAAGGTTGCCATTGCTCAAAACCCAAATGTATACTGTGAAAGTACTGTCTTTTCAGAGCTCATCTCCTCTTTAGTTTTGCCCTTTTTTACTTTCTCTCTCTCTCTCCCTTTCCTTAATATTCTTTTTCTTGATTTCTTTCTTTTTTTTTTGGCTGAAGGGCATGTACACATGTCTGTGGGAGACAAAGACAGAAGGCAAATGAGAAATTACTCCCCAGAGGGGATGGCTATGCTGCAGTTCCTTCTCCTTCATTCTCTCCTCTTGGGATTTTGGCCATGCATGTACACGCAGCCAGTGTGTTTCTCAAGCTGCTGGGTCTGGGTAGCAGCTTGAAAAAAACAAACAAAAAGAAAAAAACACTGCAGTTGGCCATGTGGGATCCAGTGCCTTAGTCACCATACACCTGTTGGCTCCAGTTTTGTCTTTTTCTTCCCTTCTTTCCTCCCTTCCTCTTCATCTTTCTATTTTTTTCCTAATAGTCAGAGGTTACATTTGCTGGGGGTGGGAGGGAAGAATCCACCAATGAGACATGATCATACCACAATCCCTTTTTCTCTCTTTGTCTGTCCTGTCAGGATTTTGAACACATGTGTGCACATACTTGGTGTGGTTTTCAAACCCCAGATCCAGGAAGTAAACTGCTGTTGGCTCTGTGGGTTCTGGCTCTCTTAACTCCTATCCTATGGGGTCAGTCCTAGTTTTGCCTTTTTATGTCATGCAATTATCATACCATGCTATTGGTCCTTTTGGCTTTAGCTCTGAGACTTCTTATTTGGTTATGGGTCAGGGAAATAATGATTGTGCAGATAGGGACAGTGTGAGTGATCATAAAGCCCTTATACATGCTAGAAGAATTAAGTTAAAATTTTCAGTAAATATGAACAGAGTTTTTGTATAAATATATTTCTGGGTATACTATAGCAGCACTGCAGAAGTTAAACTGAACAGCATACACAGATTGGGATGAAGGGGTTGGCCATTAGCTTGGCCAGAAAAGGCTAAGAATCTGGTGTGTGTGTGATCATTCATCCACACAACTGGAAAGGCCTATGAAAAGTGTTTTACAATGCAAAAACTGCCACCATCCTGACCTGCTCCTGCTTTAGCTGAGATTACTTAAAATGAGTATGTATTAAAGGCTGAGATGAAGGGACCAGCAGATGGCATAATGGTTATGTTATTGGACTCCCATGTGGTCATTCGTGGTTTGAATCCCAGACCTGGTGGGTGAAAACACATACCATGTGCGTGTGTGTGCATGCCCTAAATCCTAAGGGGACAATGAAGGAGAAGGGATTGTGGTGTGGCCATCCCCCCCTGGGATTAATTTCTCACTTTCTGTCTCTCTGGTGAGCATATAGGTCCTATAACAAAAATATCTCTCTGAAAAAAAAAAAAACAAAAAAACCTGAGATGAAAAGTCATTGTTCTTTGTGATTGTTTTCCTGTAAAATCATTTAGTAGTTCAGACTGTTTAGGCTTTTAAATATTTGTTTTGGAAGTTAGTTTCGATTTTAGTTAACAAGGTTAACTTTTTAAAAAAAAAAAATAATTCTTTTGAAATGATTTCATATTTACCTGAAAGAGTAATTTATTTATTTATTTATTTGAGAGGTTTTTGCTATAGGGCACATGCACTCGCCAGACAGAGACAGGGAGACAGAAAGTGAGAAATCACCCCCCAGGGAGGATGGCCACGCCTCAATCCCTTCTCCTCCATTCTCCTCTCGGGATCTTGGGCATGCACGCACACGTGCTGGGTGGGAGTTTAAGCCACCGGATCCAGGACTCGAACTGCGGTCAACTAAACGAGAATCCAGTGACATCGCTAACTGCTGGTCCCGAGTAATTTTTTTTTTTTTTTTACTTTTCCAAGTTTTTTATTGTCGAAACCATCACAGAAAGAAACTTTAATAATTCAGTAATATGATTTTTTTTAAATAAAGGATTGAATGTAAAAAGTAACTAGAAAAGAGTTTTATGCAGAGGTGACTAATTTTACTATTTTAAAGTGTGTGTGTGTGTGTGTGTGTGTGTGTGTGTGTTTAAATTGCCAGATAAGGCATCTGCTCATGAGAGAGAGAGACAGAGACACCAACTGCTTCATTCCCCAGGGCAGGATCACACTGCAGTCTCCTTTCTTGTCAGGATTTTGGGCATGTACACATGCAACTAGTGTGTTTTTCAAGTTGGCAGGGCTGGAATTGAAACCATGGTTAGGATCCAGCTTTCTGTGCATGACATTTAACAGTTGTGCTAGCCCAAAAAATACATTTTATGTAGCTAAATACACTGTTTTCAGAACTGACAAGGATACCCTTTTAGAATTTTTAGTAAACTTTTCTTGACACCAAGTCTGGTTTTAAACCTATTTCCATATAGTTGCAATGGAAACATTGCCTTTTGTTTTTTCTTAAGAGATTTTGGCTATAGAGCTCGTGTCTTCGCCGGAGAGACAGAAAGACAGAGAGATAGAAAGCAAAAAGCTCACCCTCGCAAGTAGGAAGGTCTCCTCTCAGGATCTTGGGCACGCATACACACGTGCCCAGTGTGAGTTTTAAGCCTCTAATCTGGGACTCGAACCACTGTCAGCTATGTGAGTCCAGTGATGTAACCATTATGCCATCTGCTGGTCCCTTCATTGCTTCTTATTCTGCTTTATCTGTATTGGTTCCTTCATTTTCCCAAGGGAAAGAAAATTTAAATAAGCCATGTGGTCCCTGAGGATGGAAAGAACTTTATGTCATTTGGCCAAGGAAATGAGTCCTTTATACTATTTAATTTGGTACTTTTTTATTTATCTAACAAGAACAAGTTGTATATGGATGAGAGTCCTAAATTCAGGGCCCTTTTTTTCTCTTAGTAATATATACTTTTTCTGTTACTGTAATGCTTAAGAGCTTTATCTATTTTACCAGATTTTAGTATCTTACTCATATTTTTAGTACTCAAACAAATATAATTAACAATTGTTTGTGTTTTCCAGGCAACAGCTGAACAAATGCGTCTTGCTCAAGTGATCTTTGACAAGAATGATTCAGATTTTGAAGCTAAAGTTAAACAGGCATGTTTCTGATAAATGATACTATCATTTTCTTATCTATTATAATCTTAGCATGCTTAGAAAGATAATTCTACTAGAGATTTTATTTTACTTTTTAATTTGCCAGATAGTGTGTGCATGCATTGGAGAGACCGGGGCTGGGGGAAAGTGAGAAAGCACCTCTGATGGGGCATGGTCACCCTGCCAGCCTCTCTCTTCCGTTTCTCCCCTCTTTCCGGATTTTGGGCACACGCACACACACCTGGCATATTTCTCAAGCTGCTGGGTCTAGGATTACAATCATGCTTTTTGCCATGTGGAATCTAGCTGCCTTGACCTCTACACCACCAGCTAGCACAAGATTTTAGTTTTGAAGTATACTTTTTGCTTAATCTGAACTCCCACCTGGATATTGGATTTTTCATTTCTGATGAAATTTTATTGGAGAACAGGTGAAGGATTTGAGCATGTTTGTCTCTGACTGTAGAATCATCTTTTTTTCCCCTTAAATTTGCCAGAGGTTGTGTGCTCTTGCCAGAGGGAGATAGAGAGAGAGAAAGTACACATACACACACACCATAGGGATATGGTAATGTTTCAGTACTGTCTCCATTTCTACATCCTTTTGGGATTTGGGGCATGCAAGCAGACATCTGAGCCTGGCATGTTTTTAAGCCACTGAGTCAGGGAAAGAAAATTTAAATAAGCCATGTGGTCCCTGAGGATGGAAAGAACTTTATGTCATTTGGCCAAGGAAATGAGTCCTTTATACTATTTAATTTGGTACTTTTTTATTTATCTAACAAGAACAAGTTGTATATGGATGAGAGTCCTAAATTCAGGGCCCTTTTTTTCTCTTAGTAATATATACTTTTTCTGTTACTGTAATGCTTAAGAGCTTTATCTATTTTACCAGATTTTAGTATCTTACTCATATTTTTAGTACTCAAACAAATATAATTAACAATTGTTTGTGTTTTCCAGGCAACAGCTGAACAAATGCGTCTTGCTCAAGTGATCTTTGACAAGAATGATTCAGATTTTGAAGCTAAAGTTAAACAGGCATGTTTCTGATAAATGATACTATCATTTTCTTATCTATTATAATCTTAGCATGCTTAGAAAGATAATTCTACTAGAGATTTTATTTTACTTTTTAATTTGCCAGATAGTGTGTGCATGCATTGGAGAGACCGGGGCTGGGGGAAAGTGAGAAAGCACCTCTGATGGGGCATGGTCACCCTGCCAGCCTCTCTCTTCCGTTTCTCCCCTCTTTCCGGATTTTGGGCACACGCACACACACCTGGCATATTTCTCAAGCTGCTGGGTCTAGGATTACAATCATGCTTTTTGCCATGTGGAATCTAGCTGCCTTGACCTCTACACCACCAGCTAGCACAAGATTTTAGTTTTGAAGTATACTTTTTGCTTAATCTGAACTCCCACCTGGATATTGGATTTTTCATTTCTGATGAAATTTTATTGGAGAACAGGTGAAGGATTTGAGCATGTTTGTCTCTGACTGTAGAATCATCTTTTTTTCCCCTTAAATTTGCCAGAGGTTGTGTGCTCTTGCCAGAGGGAGATAGAGAGAGAGAAAGTACACATACACACACACCATAGGGATATGGTAATGTTTCAGTACTGTCTCCATTTCTACATCCTTTTGGGATTTGGGGCATGCAAGCAGACATCTGAGCCTGGCATGTTTTTAAGCCACTGAGTCTGGAATTTAAACCATGTAGTTGACCATGAGGGATCTGGCTCCCTCAACTACTAGCTTTATAGGGCTGACCATATAATCTTGCTTGAGTTACTAGTATTTTACATGCATGACACGTGTGAATGAACAGTGATATTTTTTATGCCTGTACATAGAAAGTATATTTAACATTTGGCATATTCTCAGGAAATTGTTTAATGTTAGAGAAGAATTGAATTGCCTTTTCAAATATTGGTATGATTTTAAAGTTTTTTTTTTTTTAAGTATAAAATTAAGTTTTAGAGCAGTGTTTTCATTAAAAACATTAAAAAAAGGCCAGCAGGTGGCATAGAGGTTAAGGTGGCTAGATCTCACACATGGCTGACTGCATGATTCAAGTCCTGGACCTGGCAGCTTAAAAACACTGGGCGTGTGTGCATTCATGCCTAAAATCCTAGAGGTAAATGGAGGAAAAGGGGTTGTGGGAGACATGGCCATCCTCCCAGGGGGTGATTACTTTTTTTTTTTTTTTAAGAGAGATTTTTGTCATAGGCTACATGTTCTCACCAGAGAGACAGAAAGTGAGAAATCTCCCACCCCTCCCAACACTCCCCAGGGGTAATGACCACTCCACAGTCTCTTCTCCTCCATTGTTCTCTCGGGATTTTGGGCTTTCATGCACATGCACCTGGAATGAGTTTCAAGCTGCCGGTCTGGGACTTAAACTATGGTTGACCATGTGTGAATCCAGTAATGTAACCATTATTACCATCTGTTGGTCCCATTATTATTTACTTTCTCTGGTGAGTGAAATGCCCTATACCAAACTAAAAAACCAACCACATAAAAAACTTTAACAAGAGGTCTTTTTGACAAAATAGTCTTTTTTGGGGGAGGGAGAGAGGTTTTTGTTACAGGGTGCGTGCACTCGCCAGAGAGACAGAGGCAGAGAGACAGAAAGCCAGAAATCACCCCTCCGGGGGGGGGGTATTTTCCCTTCTCCTCTCGGGATCTTGGGCACACACGCACATGCGCCCGGTGCGAGTTTAAGCTACTGGGTCTGGGGCTCAAACTGCAGTCAGCTACATGGGTGTTCAGCAACATAGCCATTACACTAACTGCTGGTCCCAGAATTTCACTTTTGAGACTTTAGGGTATTATAACTATTAATGTATACGCGGAGTATTCTAATTCAGGCATTGATAACCAACATAGAAGATAGTGTCTTGGGACCAGCAGATGGTGTAATGTGTGTGCATGCATGTCCAAAATCCCAAGAGGAGAACGGAGGAGAAGGGATTGTAGTGTAGCCATCCCCTTGGGGGGGGGGGGTGATTTTTTGCTTTATATCTCTCTGTCTCTCTAACAAGCACACATGCCTATAGTAAAAAACATGTCTCTCTCTAAAAAAAATAAAGAATGAAAATAGTGTCCCTGTGTAAAGCATTGAACTGGATTTTTTGCACATGGTTGACCACATACTCAAATAGTTCCACTTAGTGTTTTATAAGTTTGGGAATCTTATATATATATATATATATATATTTAGGTTCTTAATCCTGGATATTCTGATAATGTTGAAATGTACTTATGTATGTGATCATTAATAATATGATATTTGGTCAATTTGGAGGACTGCTGATTTGTAGTTTGACTGCTAGTATAGTTAAAGGAACTTGGGATGGCCACAAGGAAAATACAACAAAGCAAAAGAAATAAGCTTCCTCTCATGGTCTGGAAGGGGTCATCTTCATGTAGAAGGAGTGTCTAATTTGTGTATTTTAAGAAGAATCTCAAGATTAATATCTAGTTCCTTTTTTGGCTCTCCTTAACCATTTTCTGGCATTTTGAATAGCTTATGGAAGTGACGGGGAAAAACCAGGATGAATGCATAGTGGCCCTACATGACTGCAATGGAGATGTGAACAAAGCTATCAACATATTGCTGGAAGGGAATTCTGACACGGTAAGTATTATTGATTGATTTGCAGTGCAAAGATATCTCTCTAATTCCATATCACATTTCCAATTTCACCTTTTCATTGGGGGGTTGGGGTGGAGGGGATTATGGGTGCCATTCCATATTTGTTTTAAGTTCCAGAAAAAACACTAATCTGAAATGACTGTTTTTGTTATGTGTGGTTTCTTCATGAAATCGTAGAATTTGAAGATTCGAAAGAGAACATGGTGATCTACTCCAGCCTTAAACAGTTTCCAAAATTCTCTGGGCCTGTGGACATTTTCACCACCTGAAAAACTTCTCTTGGCTCCACTGCTCATGTTTCTTCATCTCAGTCGTCACCTCTAACTACTCCTTATATCTTTATACTAATAGAAAACCAGGTTTCGTTGGTATATCTGTTTGCTTATGTGTGAATGTTCTATAGAGACATCCATGTAACAGATTGGCAGACCTATTTGTAAAATAAGAGTATTGGTTTTTGAACCCTTAATTAAAGTTTGGTGAATGTGCAGGTAGCTATAGAAGAGCTCATCCTTTTGATTCAATAAGGATGCAATTAAGGCCATACCAGGCAATTGTCAGCCCTAATTTTTTTATTTCTGTGTGGAGATTATATAGTATTTATTTTATATTTTTAAATTGAGCACACGTCACGGAGCAAATTTAAACAAAGAATTCTTCTCAAAGAGAGTACAAAGATGAACATTTCAAATATTTCTTGGTGGGTAAACGTTTAGGTTAAATCATATTTTCATTGTTAGAGACAGGCATGGTAGAAATTAATTGCCATGTGATGATATTGAATCGTAAATGATTATCTTAGGTGATGTGAAATAAACAAAATAAATATTGTTAGTCTAAAAATTTGTTACTTTGGAGAATATTTCACTGAGTAGCAATATCTATAGGTAAAATCCCATGCAAACGAATGCTCGGTCCATATAGTAAACCACCAAATGTGTGAATTCATAGGGAAAACATTCCGTGTTAAATGATAAAAATGTTGAGAAGTTTTTGTTTGCTGGCATTTAGTGAAATATGTACATTATAAAATATGGGAAATCTGTTTACCTGATTGCTAATGGATGTGGCATAGAATGGCTCTCAGTTATTTATTAATTTTGACAGGGAGTTTGTGTGCTTACTAGAGACAGAGGGAGGAAGAGAAAGCACCCCCCATGGGGAATGTTCACACTGCAATTCCTTCTCCATTTTTCATTCAGCAATTGGGATTTGGGGTGTACAGTGCTTAGCATGTTTCTCAAACTGCTAGGTCTGGGACTCAAACTATGGAGTTAGCCATTTTAAATCCTTAACCACCAGGCCATTTAACCTGCCTCTCAGTTGTTTTTAAAGTAAAAGGAAGAACTTAACTGTCCTCTTTTTTGGAGAGGTTTTTGCTATAGGGCACGTGCGCTCGCCCGAGTGATAGAAAGAGACAGAGAGACAGAAAGCGAGAAATCACTTCCCAGGGGGAATGGCCATGCCGCAGTCTCTTCTACATTCGGCCATGCCGCAATCTCTTCTACATTCTTCTCTCGGGATCCTGGGCATGCACGCACGCGTGCCCAGCGTGAGTTTAAGCCACCAGGTCCGGGACTCGAACCGCAGTCGACTATTTGGGAGTCCAGCGACATAGCCATTACACTAACTGCTGGTCCCTCTTCTTTATTTATTATTTATTATTATTATTATTATTTTTCAATGCTGCCTGGTCTGGTACTTGTACTGCATAGTTAGTCTTGTGGGACCCAGCAGCCTTAACTTTCTGCTCTCTACTGGTCCCTGCCCTTCTTTAAAAAAAAATTATTTAATTTTATTTATTTTTTATTATTCTTTAATTTCATGAGAGAGAGAGAGAGAGAAGAAACAAGCTGCCAGTCCAGGACTCAAACTGTAATTGACTATGTGGGAGTCCATTGCCTTAACCACCACACAACCTGTTGGCCCTGGTGCCTGCCCTCTTTAAAAAGAATTTCTAGGGGGCCAGCAGATGGTGTGGTAGTTAAGGGTGCTGGACTCCCACATGGCTGAAAACGGTTCAAGTCGCGGACCTGGAGGCTTGCTTTCTCACCCCTCCCCCCCACTCTGTCCTTCTCTGGTCAAATTGAAATAAAATTAAATAATTCTAAAAAAAGAAAGTTTGAAGTTAAAAAAAAAAAGAATTTCTAAATCTGTAACTGGTGGGCTCTTCTTTATTTATGGTAGAAATAGGCAGGGTACTTTTTTTGTTGTTGCTGCCTTTACTTTACCTCCAACAGATTTCATTCTTTTTCCACAGTAGTTAGGTAAATTTTTTATCTTCTCTATTTTTTTTAAAAGTTAATTTATCTTTTCATCAGAAAAAGGCCTAGAAATAGCATCAAAGAAAGACACACACCTTCAACAAGATTCATGCTTTTACACCCACACCCTTCTATCTGCTTTTAGCTAGGTCGGGTGATGGGCTCAGACACTTGTCAGATGTTCACAAGTCAACCCAGGAACCAAACCCTGAGCTTCTGTCTTCTAGTATTGCTTACAGAACATTGTGTTCCTATTGTACCAATGTAGTTGGGCCTTGAAAAGTCTTTTTTTCTTTCTTTATTTTAATTCAGATTTTTGCCATAGGACACATATACTTACCAGAGAAAAACAGAGATGGGGGGAACATGAGAAATCACTACCTAGGTGGTGATGGCCAAGCCACAGTCTTTTTCCGTTCTCCTTTGGGGATTTGGGGATTTTGGGCACACACACACACACACACACACACACACACACACACACCTGGCATGTTTTCAAGCAGCAGTGTCTGGGGTTCTAACCTAGGTGTTGGTCATGTGGGATCCAGCATCTTAACCACCACACTATCTGCTGGCCCAGGCTTTGAAAGGTCTTAAACATCAGGTTCTGTGTTTTATAGAAACTTAATTCCTCATTTGGGATTGAACTCTAAGGAGGTGGTTCTGGGCTACATTTTAGGAAGGAAAGTTGAAATGTTACATAAATATTGTCTGTTAGTTACCCTTTGAATAGAATAATTTTATACTGGGGGCCATATCTGACTGACTGTTTTCTCCAAAGATCCAAAAATAGCTGATTAGGGTCTGAATATATTCTCAAAAGAGTATGCTTAATTGAAGATGAGTGGGTTGTGAGGTATAGGGAGAGGCAGGGGAAAGTTTGAAACCATGGTTTGTTTAGGATCTTTTTGTAGTACATCTTGTCTTTCATACTATGTGTCATATCTTTTGCGTAGTTGCTATCTGCAGTAGCCATGGCTAATCAGCTGTAATGACTGTCTTGGATTGGGGTAGTTAATTGGATTGGGCATGAAAGAATGTTAACATGGGTTTTTAAGAGCATGAACATTAAGGATAAGACATGAAGGCACACAAGTTTTGTCATATTGGCTAACCTTATTCTGTGCTAGTATCTTCTTAAATAAAATTACTTTGAAAAAAGTGTTAAGTGAAATTGTTCATGATTTTTTTCCTAGAGATTTTTGCTATAGAGTGCATATGCTTGCCGGAGAGACAGAGAGATAGAAAGTGAGAAATTACCCCCCAGAGGAAATTGCTCCACTGCATTCCCTTCTCCTCCATTCTCCTCTTGGGATTTTGAGCACATACGCACACACATCTGGCATGAGTTTTAAGCTGCCAGGTCTATGACTCAATTTGTGGTCCACCATGTGGGAGTCCAGTGCCTTAACTCCTGGCCCCTGTTCATGATAATTTTAAGGATGAGTTTTTCTTGTGTAAGAATAATTGTCACAAAAGAAAATATTGAACATGAATTTTTTTCTTTTATCATAATGTTTTGTTTGGGTGACAAAATTGTTTTGAAGTGTCAGTCCTTTGCATTAATGCACTTATTTGTTTCTAGTAACTTGTTTGTCTTGGTAGTTTGGCAAAGCTTAAGAGCCAGGAGAATAATTTTGGACAGTTGGTCTTGAACATGGTGTTTCTTAATTACTAAATGTGATGTGTGGATGGAATTTTTTTTAGATTTCCTTCAAACCCATTCAGCAAGTAGCAAAATACAGATGGCAAAAGTTGCTAGAGGTTCTTTTGGAAATTATTTGATTCAATTTGAAAACTGTGCATGCATGCTGACTGTTGTCCAAAATATATGCTAATATATCTAATATTTCCTGTGGTGTTACTAAAAGGATCATACCCCAGTTCTCTCCACAAATAAGTACTAGTTAATGTTTGTAGAGCTCACAAGCCAAGTCTTGCTCAAGGGGTATTCTTTGCTGAATGAAATGGGGTAGGATGTTTTTCATTTTCAAATGTTTTCATAGAAAGCAGGCCTCTTTTTGCTTTCTATTTTTTTGGAGAGGTTTTTGCTATAGAGCACATGCGCTCACCGGAAAGACAGAGAGTTTAAACCACCAAGTCTGGGACTCGAACCACGGTCAACTATGTGGGAGTCCAGTGACATAGCCATTATGCGAATTGCTGGTCCCAAAAGCAGACCTCTTTATAACAGTTGAACAGTTGATATCTTGTGCCTCGCTGTGCAAAGACATGTATGTGTGTGTGTGTGTGTGTGTGTATACATCTTGTGCTAACTCTACTGTGTATAATTTTCTGGAGTCTTTGGAATTTACTTCTTTTTATTATTTATTTATTTTTGAAATTTCCCAGGGGACATGTGTGCTTTTCAGAGTCAACTAAGATAGAGACAGGAAGAAGGGAGGCAGTACCCTCCCCAGTGGAGTTTGATCACACACAATCTCTTTTCCTCCACTTTTCCATCCTGTTGGGATTTTGGGCCTGCATGCATATATTCCTGGAATGTTTTTCAAGCCAATGGAGTCAACATTCAAACTGTGGTGGGCCATGTGAGATCCATCTTCCTTAACCACTAGGCAGTAGTGCTGCCCCTAGATTTCACTTTGTCTTGCAAAGCTAAGAGGACCAATTCTATCTTACACAGTTCATTATGTTTTTCATATTCACATATGTAATCAAGTCAGTTTATATATTGTGGGATTGTTTTCCCTTTGGCATACTTTTTTTTTCGTTTTTGAGAGGTTTTTGCTATAGGGCACATGTGCTCGCCTGCCAGAAAGACAGAGAGAGACAGAGAGACAGAAAATGAGATATCAACCCCCAAGGGGGATGGCCACTGTGCAGTCCCTTCTCCATTCTCCTCTCGGGATCTTGAGCATGCATGCACACACACCTGGCACGAGGTTAAGCCACTGAGTCCAGGACTCAAACCGTGGTCAACTACATGGGAGTCCAGAGACATAGCCATTATGCCAACTGTTGGTTTCCCCTTTGGCATACTAAAGTACATATTAGAATAGATAGTGTTTAGGGCCAGCAAGTGATGTGATGGTTTAGGTACTGGAATTCCCACGTGTTCGACCGCGATTTGAGTCCTGGTCCTGGCAGCTTACTTTCCCACTCTCTCTCTCTGTCCTCTGGCAAAACTAATGTGGAAAAAAAAGTAATAATAATAAATTAATTAATAAAATAAATAATTTTGTAAAACCAAAAGAATAGTGTCCTAAATTAGATATTTTTGGAATTCTCATTTCCCCCGTTGCTATTTTCTAGAAAGAACTTTTGCATAATTTTCACATTATTTTCTTTGAATAAAGGCATAGAATTAAAAGTGATGGTCCAGAGAGTGGCTCGCATTGCTAGGTAGCCTTCTAAGATGGAGAAAAGAGATGCTTGTTCACCAGAACTATATGAAAATGTTTCATTATTTAGCTAAGAGGTAGAAAGTAACTTGTTTTAATTCTCCCCCACCAAACGCATTATTTTATACCTACTTAAATATGTAATTTCATCTGCTTTGCTTGAGTTCAAAATATCTAATTAGGAAAAAAGTGTTTTGAAGGTGACTTATGCCATTCTGAAAATAATTGAACTGTATCATTTGACTTTAAGTTTACTAATTTTCAGTATTTACTTTTATTTAGCTATACATTGTTAGTGCTTTCTGAACTTTTTAAAAACAGCTTAATGGTTATTAGTTATTTTGTAACTGACTCCTTTCAAACTCCTTGTGAAATAAGGTAAATTATGAAAAAGCAAATAGAAAACTATGTGCCAATTTTGGAATTTCCCAGTAATGTATCTTGTTTGCTGTTCTTACGTTCATGCATATTGAAGAATGTAGTAACTGTTTCTCAACTTTTGACTTCTCAGGAAATAGATGGGCATCCCTAACAGATTTCCTATGACATGATCCTCCCCCAGCCTTAGGCATTTCCAGATCATGAGGGCACATATTCCTGTGTATTCAGGAAATCTTCTAGACACAAACCTGGAACCCCACCTACAGAGTGCTGTGTTACTGCTCTTCCACTGGCTGGACCCAGCATTTTTCCCTTTTAATTAATAGTGGGCATGCACGCTCGCTAGAGTGAGACAGACACAGAGAAATAGAGGGAGAGGGAGTAAGTACCATATCCCCAATGAGGTGGAGTTACATTATAGTCCTTTCTTCACTTCTTCCTCCTGTCACTATTTTGAGTGTCTACACACATACACGCGTGGCTGCTATTTATCAGGCCAGTAGTGCTTTGATTCGAACTGTGGTCAGCCCTGTGGGCCAACCACTAGGCTGTAAGGGTGGGCCATGGACCCAGTTATTATTGTATGATTGTGATGATTGGATTTGATGTTGACTTTGGAGAAGTTGGAGAGCATTGGCTATATAAATCATTTGACTCCTCAATAGAACAACATCTTGAGGTTGAAATTTGGGGCACTTAATTTTTTTTTTTTCTTCTTTTTTTGGAGAGGTTTTTGCTATAGGACTCATGTGCTCGCCAGACAGAGAGACAGAAAGTGAGAAATCACCCCCCAGGGGGGAGGGCCACGCGGCAATCCCTTTTCCTCCGTTCTCCTCTCGGGATCTTGGGCATGCATGCACACACGTCCGGTGTGAGTTTAAGCCACCCGGTCCGGGACTCGAACCGCGGTTGACTACATGGGAGTCCAGCGACATAGCCATTACACTAACTGCTGGTCTCAGGCACTTAATTTTAAAAAATGCACAATTTTTAGTAGTTTACCATTTTTTGGATTATTTGGATATTTGCACAGGGAAAGTTATATTTCTGCAGCTCTTTGTAAATCATTGTAAGTAATTTTGTAGTCTTCAAATCATTAACTAGTGGGTTTAAGGCCTACTACTGAAATAGGTAGGGTGTCTTTAACCCTGAGTCAACACAGGAAAGGGCTCTGTGACAGGAAAACATATAGTATGTTGTCACGTCACAAATAGTAATTATTTGTGCTCTGAATAGCAATAGGAGCTGTCTGTATCATCAAGAAAGTAGAACTATATGGAAAGTAACTAAAATGATAGGCAAATGAGCTGCAAATTGTGGGTAATTAGAGACATACATGAACTCTCTAATTATACACAGTTTGAATGTCAACTCTGAATATCATCACTTCTTTTTGATAGACTTCATGGGAGACCGTAGGGGGGAAGAAGAAGAATTTTGGAAAAGAAAGTTCAGAAAACAAAGAGAATAGAGAGAAGAGAAGTGAGAGAGAAGCAAATCGTGGACGAGGAAACAACAACCGGAAGGGAAGAGGTGGCAATCGTGGGAGAGAGTGTAAGTACAAACTTTTCTTCTCTACTTTTTTTTTTAATAAGTTTTCATACATTTGAAATGTCATTTAAGTTCTAAATAAAGGGAAGTGGAACAGGTTTGAAAGCCCATATATTCTTAAAAGTTAAAAAGACTAATTCAACGAATGTGATAAATCTACTTTCTCATGAGCACAAAATATGTGTCAATAGTTAATAGTAGCAGTTAGCTGCACCTGAGTAGTTCTTTAGAACCTTTGATGTAATTTGTTTCCAGCACTTCTCTGGGCTGTAGATAGTTAATTGTGTTGATGTCTTAAGACTATCTTCTGTGATGAATCAAGTGCATTCTTTAATTTTAGGATGGATGTGTGTGTTTGGAGGTTTGAGTCCATTAATTGATAAATACAGCTGTTTTTTTTCTTATCCATTTAGATTCAATATAGGCAAGGCTGAGATTAAGAGGATAATTGTTGAATGGACAAGATTTTCTCAATAGAGTACGTTAGATCCAGGTTTTGGCATCCTTTGCCCAAACAGCGCTGACAACTGTGCAGATGTACTGAAGTAATAACTAAATTAGAATGAATAAAATGTAAATATTTAACATCTCTAGAGACTTTTGGTAGCTCTTCTACTATAGAGTGGATACTGTTATATATATACAGTAATGAATAAAACAGGTAAAAATCTTTGCCCTCCTAAAATTTATTTATTTTTTTAAAAACCTATTTCTTCCATGAGTGAAAGAGAGACAGCACTCCCAACACTGTGATCCACTCCCGGTCTTAGCCAGCCCTGGATTGAGGGCATGACAGAGACAGAAAGAGAAAGCACTTCTCCTCCATCCCCCCGCCTGCAGTGAGGTCTGGTCATGCTGTATTCCTTTTCTCCTCCACTTTTCTACCCAGTCAGGATCTTGCCCATGTGCACAACTGTATTAGGTGTGTGTTTGATGCTGCCGCGGCTGGGACTCAAACCATGTGAGAGCTGGCTCCCACTGCACAGCTCTTAACCATTACGCTAAGAGCCTGGCCCATAAATTTTATCTTTCTTTTTTTAAAAGGTTTTTGCCATAGGGTGCATGCACTCACTGGAGAGAGAGACAGAGAGGGAAAGTGAATAATCGTCCCCTGGGAGGATGGCCACACCATAATCCCTCCTCCTCTGTTCTCTCAGTATTCTAGGCATGCACACACATGGACCTAGCATGACTTTCAAGCCACAAAATCTGGAAATTGAACCATGGTCAGCCATGTGTGTGTCTAGTGCCTTGACTACTGCAGTACCTGCTGGCCCCTAAAATTTCTATTTTTTTCAAAAAAAAAAATTTGCTAGAGGGCATGTGCACTCATATGAGAGAGAGAGAGAGAGTTCCACCCACCTCCCTGTGGGATCACTGTGCCACAATCTCTTCCCCTTTCTTCCTTTTGATATTTTTTGACCATGTGCATACATGTACCTGGCATGTTTTTCAAACTACCAGTTCCAGGACTTGACCCTACCCGGTCAGCCATGTGGGATGCAACTGCCTTAACTGTCATGTTACTAGATGTCTCAAAACTTATCTTTTGGGGGCCAGCAGGTAGCATAGTGGTTAAGGTGACTGGACTCCCACATGGCTGACTATGGTTCGAGTCCTGAACCAAGCAGCTTGTTTTTTCACTTTCCCTCTCTCTGGTCAACTTCAAAATAAAACAAAATAAAGACAACAAATAAATAAAGAATCTTTAAGGAAGATGGGAGTGAGATGTAACAATAAAGAAAGTAAGATATTTGATGTTATTATAACATTTTAGGATATAATGTAGAAATTTTGCAAGAGGGAGGAAAAAAGCAGAGAGGCAAGGATAACTGAAGAGATTTGACAAATTTAAATTGATTGGCCACAGAAGCCCTTATTAAGAACTAGGACCAGCAGTTAGCATAATGGCTATGTCGCTGGACTCCCATGTAGTCGACCGCGGTTCGAGTCCCGGACCTGGTGGCTTAAACTCACGCCTGGCGTGTGTGCGGGTGTGCCCAAGATCCTGAGAGTAGAATGGAGGAGAAGGGATTGCGGCGTGGCCATCCCCCCTGGGGGTGATTTCTCACTTTCTGTCTCTCTGTCTCTCTCTGTCTGTCTGGCAAGTGCACGCGCCCTATAGCAAAAACTTCTCCAAAAAAAAAAAAGAACTTATATGAGTTTAGCTCTTAAAGAGGTGAGGGGAACTAGCCATGCCAGTGTCTCTCATAAAAATTTTTGTTCTACATAGAGTCATTAATGCCAACATATAGGTGGAGAAAAGATTGTTGAAATCTTTCAAACACCATCTAGGAAAATCTGTCTCTAGGGCTTCAGTTTTTCCAAGGACTCTCTCTTTGGTGCTGCTATTTTGCTATTCTTTGTGTTTTTAGGCTTCGAACTTAATTGATGAACAAATGCTGTTGGGTATCACATGGTTGCATAACGAAGGATTTTTTTTTTTAATTTTTGACAAAATAATTATTTTATTATTATTATTATTATTATTTTATTTTTTTAATTCACCAGAGAGAGGAAGAGAGAGGGAAAATGAGAAGGCAAGCCACTGGGTCCACAACTCAGATTGCAATCAGTTATTTGGAATTCTAGTGCCTTAACCACCATGCTACCTGCTGGCCCCACGAAGGCAGTTTTTTGAAGCAAAATATTTGAGAGAGGACAAATCCCTATTGAAGAAATATCAGGGGCTAGGTAGTGACAAAGCTGCAAAACACGATGCACTGTGAGGCTGACGCACATGAAAATGTTCCCACTTCACATGGCACCTCCTTTGCCATGCACAGTTCCATCATCTGGGCTGGCTGAGGGTGGGGGTAGACTGGGGCCTTAAGACCTTGTAAGGGGTGCTGTCTTTCTCTTCTTGTCTCTATCTCGCTCATGAAAGAAGTAAATGATCTTAAAAAGGAAGAAAGAAAAAAATTAATTTTTTTCTTTTTTCAGAATTTTTACATGTGAATTTAGCAGATTACATTGTCATTCAGGTTTTTTTTTTTTTTTTTGCTATAGGGCAGGTATACTGCCAGAGAGACAGAGAGACAACAAATATGAAATTACCCCCTAGGGAGATGGCCATGCCACAGTCCCTTCTCCTCCATTCTCCTCTGGGATCTTGGGCACACATGCACACGTGCCTGGCGTGAGTTGAACTCTGGGTCTGAGACTTACACTGTAGTCAAGTCCAACGATGTAACCATTGCACCATCTGTTGGTCCCTGTTGTTCAGTGTTTAAGCCAGTTTTGTTTTTAGTTTTGCTGTTTGTTGTTTTTGTTTAAATTTTAGCCTGTTTTTAGTCTTGGTCATTCTGTCCTTGTCTTTAATAGGTATCTAGTAAGGTTATTTATAAAAGTTTTGGAAATGAAAAGTAGATATTCCTGCTCTTTATTATTTTTTCTTTAGTAAGAAGTGAAGAGAATGGAGTCGATTGCAATCAAGGGGACAAACCTTCAGACCGAAACAAGAGAGTCCGTAGTAGAGGTAAGCCAAAATAAGAAGTTTCCCATTACAGACATGAAGACAGGCTGTTGCTTTATAGGGCTGTGACTAGGGGTGGCAATGTATATTCTGAAAGAATGCTTGATCTTCTGAAATTTGATTATTTGCTTTCTAATGCCTTAGACTAAAGTGTTTACATTATATCAATTTTTTTAAATTTGATACTATGATTTTGTTTATTTATTTATTTTTTGAAAATATTATATTTAACTTTATTGTTATTATTATTTTCCAGTTTGATCAGACAGAGAGAGAGAGAGTAAGGAAGCAAGCCACCAGGTCCAGAACTTGAACTGTGGTTGGCCTTGCAGGAGTCCAGTGCCATTAGCCACCACGCCATCTGCCAGCCCCTATGACTTTATTTTTTTTAACTTGCCAGAGGCCACGTGTGCTCACTGAGAGAGACCAAGAAGAGAGGGGAAAGTGAGAAAGCAGCCTCTGTGGGTGGATAACCCTATTGCTGTCCCTTCTCCATTTTTTTCTTGGAATTTGGGGCATGTACACACATGCACCTGGTGTGATTTTAAGCTGCTGGGCTCTGGACTTCAGGAACTTGGTTGGCCATGAGGGATCTAGCTACCTCAACCACCATAGCACCTGCTGGCCCATTTCATTGTTTGTTTTTGTTTTTTTTTTAAAAAGGATTTGGACGTGGCAGAGGAAGAGGAGCAGGAAAATTCTCAACCCAAAGCATGGGGTAAGTCACAGCTGTTCTATTTTTGTGGTTATTTTCCCTGATTTTTGGACCAGTTTTCTGTCCTCTATGTTGTGCTAAATTTATTTTTCCTGGTGAATCACATGTTATTTTTTTATTCTTAAAAGAGTTTAGTAATGTCGGGGCCAGTAGATGGCATGGTGTTTAAGGTGCTGGACTCCCACTTGGCTGACGGGGGTTAAAGTCCTGGACCTGGCGGCTTGCTTTCTCACTTCTCCTCACCCCCCACCCTGTCCCTGTCTGTCAAATTAAAACAAACAAATAAATAAATAAAGTTAAATAAACTGATTATTTTTATAAAAAGTGTTTAGTAACGTGAAATATTGGGTTGTCAAAAAAGTCATGATGCATATTTACATAGAAAAAAATACTTCGTGACTTTTCCGATGACTCAGTAGTACAAATGGAGTTGATTTTTCAATAGCATTAGAGAAGAGTTTCTAGCATTAGCATTGTTGACATTTTGGGTTGGATAATACTTTATTGGGGTGGTGGAGAATTCTGTACATTGTAGGGTGTTTAGTAGCATCCTTCCCCCTTCTTACCTTCTCCCCTCCTTACTACATCCCAGTTGTGCCCTTCCTGAAGTTGTGACAGTAAAAATGTTTACAGACACTGTCAAATGTTTCCTAAAAGCAGGATGGAGAATCACTCCTAGTTGAAATATCACTCCTAAGAGCTAAGTTAGTAAGTCCAGCAATTGTCTTTAAATGCTAATTAAATGTAATGCTTATTCATGTAAAAATCATATATTTTTCCCTGAATTATAATAGTGAAGGATGAGCATTCTAAATAGGTGTTGTAGTCAATAGTTTGCTTATTTATTCTGGGTGCTCCCACTGGGTTTTTAGAAAAAGTTATTTTACACATCCTATGGAAGCCCTGGAAGAAAACTGGTTTTAGGAAAAGCCCTCTGTCTCTTCATAGCTTCAGGGCACCAGTCTTGGAGTTAGTGCAGTCTGGGTGAGGGCACCCCTCTGTTTTTCACTTTAGCTCCCTATAAAGAAAGAGACATGTAACATAGGGAACAAAATGTCAGGGGCACTTAAACATATAAGCCCAGACCATTAGCTTTAGATTATTTTGTGGATTTGTTTTTGTTTACTTCATATTCTTTTTTTTTTCCGAGAATTATTTATTTATTTATTTATTATTATTTCACATGAGTTTTTGCCAGAGTGAGAGTAAGCAAGTAAGCCACCACGTCCATAATTCGAACCACTGTTGGCCATGTGAGAATTCCAGTGCCTTAACCACCATGCCAATTGCTGGCCCATAGCTTTATATTCTTTTGTGAAAATTTAAGGGTAGTATTTATTTTGGTCCATGTTAATAATCAGGATTGCTTATGGGTATTCAGTTTAGAATTTTTGTTTTGTTTTTCATTTTTCATATTTTAATGTATTTGCAAAGATGCACATGCTTTATAACTGCCACCTAAAGTATCACATATAGAGGTCCATCATTTCTTCTTCTGGAAGGTGATGCATAGTCTTCTGTAGCCAGTAGTTCTCAGATGGTAGCTAGAGTGCAACTCTGAGAAGCAACATTCCATCTCCCTGACCTGTTGCCTTCAATGAACAGATATAGACAGGTCTCTTAGCAGATGAAGAGTTCCGTGTAAGAGAATTTTAAAGATTACTGATGTTCGTTTTCATTCCTTTAAGCCAAAAGCTTAAAAGATGCTAACCATTTCAATAGAAACTTGCAGGAATTATTATATTCCTCCATGCTTTCTAAAATAGAATTCAGCTTTAATTCTTAAAAGTATCATGGTCTCAGAATAGACTTTTATGATAGTCATTGATTTTGTTTTTTTAATTGCCAGTGGGCCAGGGTGCGCCTTAGAGAGAGACAGAGAGACAGAGAATGAGGGAGAAAGCACCTGCAATAGATGTGGCTAAGCTGTCATCTCTTCTTCCATTTCTTCATCCTCTGGTGATTTGGGGCATGCCTGCACATGTTTCTGGTGTGTTGTATAAGCCATTAGGTCTTGAATTTGAACTGGCGTTGATCATGTGAGATCTGGCTCCCTTAAGTACCAATCTATGGGTTCAGCCCCTAGTTTAGTATTTTAATTCAAAAAGGGGGAAATGCTGAACAGCACATTTGCTTCTTTTCTGTATTCAGTGTTTCTATATTGAAAGGAGCATATAATTTTATTGTAAAAGGTTCAAAGCCAAATTTGAATTCCGACTTCGGAGCCTTTACTCTTCCTTAAGATTCTAGGTCTCCATGTCTGTCTTAGGACTCAGAGGAGAGGATTTTAGAAAAATAAGACCATCATACAAGAATGTAACAATCTCTTGTAGTGCAGTTATTAATATAATACCTCTGCTTATCAGAGACCTACACACTTTCTGTCTGGAAGAATAAGCTATAATTAAATAGGGAAGGAGAGCAAAGTCTTTTACAGTGGCAGTTAGAGGGTCTGGACTTACTTAGGGATAAGTAAGATGATGTACACTTAGGTTTGGGGCTTTGTTGCTTGCTTCACTTGCCATTATTCTTTCTTTCTTTCGAATCTCAGGACATTTAACCCTGCAGACTATTCAGATTCTACACCAACAGATGGGTGTGGAACAAAAGTAGTAGTTTGGGAAGCTGCTCAGAATGGTACAGATGAGGGGACTGGTAAGTGTTTTGTTTTTGTCAGAAGTGGATTTTAAATGTTTGAATTATTTGACTTTTATGTTCTTGTACAAAGACAAAGTTTAAAGGTGCTGTTGGAGAAGAATAAAAAATAGGCTAGTCTCCTGTGTCTGAGACTGTTTTTCATTCTTAATTCCAAAGTCTCTTAAATTTCATTGATGATGAAGAATTTGATCTTCCCTTGGGCACTAAGAGAAACAGGCTGTATAATGCAGTCTGTCTGCATAAATCAGAAAAACCATAGCTCCAGTCACACTGTGTCACAGATACACAGTACTTCTTAGGAGAAAACTTTATTGAAAATGTTATCACTCCTTATGGTGGATACTGAAACTTGAATTAGATAAAGTGATAGATGATAAATAGGTACAGGGCAGCATTTCTTCTGCAGCCTTTTCTGTGCCCTGCTTATTCTGGATCGTTTGTTTCTGAAATTCATGAGTAATTTTTGTTAATTGTTTATTTATATAGAACTCTTCAGAGGATTTATTCATGACCATATACATTAATCATTGAGATTGTATTTATAAAAACATAATTTAACACTTAGTGAAATAGAATCCAAAATAGACATACAGGTCAATAACTTACCAAAAAGCAAACTGTCCCTACCTCTGTCTGTCTCTGCTGAATGCATGTCCTATTTGGTCTTTCTGTATCTCTCCAGTGAGTGTATGAACTCTGTGGCAAAAATATTTCAAGAGGGTGGGGGAGCAGCAGGTAGCATAGAGGTTAAAGTGGCTAGATCCCATGTGTCTGATGGCGTGGTTCAAATCCAGAACCTGGCGGCTTGAAAATCACGCCAGGCACATGTTTGTGAATGACCAGAATCCCAAGAGATGAGGAATGTGGACATTTCCCCTAGGGGTGTTTTCTCACTTTTTCTCTCACTGCCTCTTTCTCTGGCTTGTTTTCACATGCCCTATAGCAAAATCTTAATCGTAAAAAGATTCCTTGGCCCATCCACAGTGGTGGCAGTGTAATAAAATGTTCTGTAATGCAATGTGCTTACAATATGCTGTAAGCCACATTGGAGATTGGGTTTGGTTCCTGTGTTGACCTGTTTACACAGAGCATGCGTGCTGTCATCCTGGCTGTCTTGGAAAGGATGTAGGGAGGATCACAGCATGAGACCCTGTTGAGGTGCTTTATTTCTCTCCCTCTCTCTCCCTCTTAAATGTACACCATGAAAAGATTTTTAGGGCCAGCAGGCAATGTGGAACTTAAGGTGGCTGGATCTCACATGCCAACTGTGTGGTTTGAGTCCTGGACCTGGTGGCTTGAAAAATAATGCTGGTTGCGTGTATGTGCATCCACCCAAATCTTGAGAGGATAATGGAGGAGAAGGGATTGTGGGGTGGCCATCCCCCTAGAGGGTGATTTCTTACTTTTTGTCCTTCTCTGTATCTCTTAGGTGAGCTCATGAGCCCTATAGTAATTTAAAAAAAGAAAAATAAAAAATATTTTTATGTAGGACCCAAAAATCTTAAGTCATGAAAGAAAAACTTTACAAAGTAGATTTTTATCAAAAATTATGACTTTTTAACTCTTCTAAAGAGCATAAACAAAAGATGAGCCATCTTGCTTAAAAAATAATCTTTATACAGAATGTATAAAGAACTCTCATGGGACCAGCAGATGGTATAATGGTTACATCGCTGGACTTCCATGTATTTGACCCACATGATTCAAGGTCCGGACCCAGAGGCTTAAAACTCATGCCAGGTGTGTGTGCCTAAAATCCCAAGAGGAGAATGGAGGAGAAGGGATTGTGGTGTGGCCATCCCTCCCACCAGGGGTTGATTTCTCACTTTCTGTCTCTCTGTCTTTCTGGCGAGTGCATGTGCCCTATAGCAAAAATCTCTCTAAAACAAAACAAAACAAAACAAAAAACTCTCACTACTTAATAATAAGTAAACAACCCCCCCCCCAAAAATAAGTAATTAAAAAGAGCAACAAAAATGATTAAGTTCTTTAAATGAATAGTGGTGATGGCTGCACAACAATGTGAATGTACTTAGTGTACACTGGAACCACACTGTATACTTAGTGTCAGGATGGTAAGTTTTATGTAATATATACTTTACTACAATAAGAAATGGCTCAGAACTTTATGCATGCATATATAAGTATGCATATGTATATTGGGTCATCAGAGAAGTCATGAGTATTTTTGCATAGAAAAATGCATCAGAAGGACCAGCAGTTAGCATAATGGCTATGTCACTGGACTCCCACGTACTTGACCGCGGTTCGAGTCCCAGACCTGGCGGCTTGAACTTGCGCTGGGCATGTGTGCATGTGTGCCCAAGATCCCAAGAGGAGAATGGAGGAGAAGGGATTGTGGCGTGGCCATCACCCCTGGGGGGTGATTTCTCGCTTTCTATCTCTCTGTCTCTCTCTGTCTTTCTGGCGAGCGCACGCACCATATAGCGAAAACCTCCCCCTCCTCCCCAAAAAAGCATCAGAAATGATGACCTAATACACACATACACACCTCATAAAAAGTTGAGAACATCTGCCATGTTGTCACATGTGTATGGCATTGCCTTTTCCCCATCCCAGAATTAAGCTAGGAGAAACACTAACCCAAGACCCTTCTGTAGAGCTGTTTGTTCGGGGGCAGTAGCATTTCTTGTCAGTAAGCACCCAGAATAAAAGTATCATCATCCCCAACAAGGTGCTGAGGATTATTTTTATAGCATCCCATTTTCTTAGTGCCATGTGGGAAGTTGGATTTTCATGATCTTAATTTATATTCTACCTTTGTAGGAAAAGATAAAATGATAGGAAATGGTTTGGAGATGAGAGGATATCTTTATCCATTTGTTCCTTTAATAAAAGGAAACTATAAATTTCTTCAACCTTGAAAATTGTGATGATGTTGCTTTCTTGCAGATAATTGAACTAAAGTCACTGGGTTCCTCATTCTAATGTGAGGGTAAAGAAAGTGTTAGATAGCATATTCTTGGGGTGAGAGACACTCATTCTTTTTTTGGAGAGGTTTTGCTATAGGACGCGTGCGCTTACCAGACAGACAGAGAGAGACAGAGAGATAGAAAGTGAGAAATCACCCTCCAGAGGGGATGGCCATGCCGCAATCCCTTCTCCTCCATTCTCCTCTCGGGATCTTGGGCACGCACGCACACGCGCCCGGCGTGAGTTTAAGCCACCGGGTCCGGGACTCGAACCGTGATCGACTACGTGGGAGTCCAGCAACATAGCCATTACGCTAACTGCTGGTCCCCAGAGACACTCATTCTTGAGTTAGACTACTTATTCTTAGTTTTCTGTACTGACCTTGGAAAGCATACTTTTTCACTGCCAGATACCAAAAGCAATGACTCAGTGACATGTAAGCCTGGGAAATACATACATTTCATTTTTAGCAGGCATAGCTTGATTAATTACTGGTTTGGAAAGCCTTTAGTGAGCAAACCTCGCTAATGGTGAACTAATTAGGTAGTTAATTTGCAAAGTTTTTATTTCATTTGGCTAGAGGTTACTTCTCTATGCAGAGACATGAGAAGTGTGATTGCTTCAATGTTAGTTTTCTTTAGATTTTTTTCCTGTTTGTCGCTAATCAGTTTGAGACCACCTGAAAACTGGGTGCTATATAGGGCAGCGCTTTGTGTAAGTGGTTTATTTTGGCCACTGGAGAAAGAGAACATTGAAAAGCCAGGTAGTACCAGTCTATTTCTTGCCCCACAGAACACCGTTCCTATAATAAGACTGCTGAGAAGCTGCTGGGAGGAGATCAATTCCATATGGAGGGGATCAGAGTTTTGTACAGGAACTCTCACCAACTGAGACTTTCCATTCTGTTTTATCGGAATGTACATAAGTCCTATTTCAGGAAAAGCAAAACAGTCCTTTACAGAAGAAAGCTGATCTGTATCCTAAGCATTGTAATAAAAAGTTAAAATGGGGGCTGGCAGGTGGCATGGTGGTTAAAGGTGCTGGATTCCCACATGGCTGACCGTGGTTCAAGTTCTGGACCTGGTGGCTTCTTTTCTCACTTTCCCTCTCTCTCTGTCTGATGAAACTGGAAAATAATAACAATAATAAATAAAGTTAAATAAAAAAATTTTTTTTCTTTTTTTTGACATTTTATTTTATTTCATTTTTAAAAAATTATTATTTACTTTTTTTTAATACATTCAATTACATTATTTAGCTTTCAAGGTGATCATTTCAATATATGAACATTTCTCCCCGGTCTAGTTGATGAAAATATAACAACACTACCTCCCTGTCTCAACAATGCTGTCTTCGTATCCCTCCTCCAAATGTTCTTCCCCAGGCCCCACTCCTCCACACACACCACATCTGGCATTCACATCCACCTCTTCTGTTTGTACATCCTTGAGCCTGTCAGTTTCAGTTATAGAGTGCGAACATTCGGTATTAAAAAATAATTAAAAAAAAAGATGAAAAAAAAAGTTAAAATGGAAAAAACAAAAACAAAAACCTCATGCCAGGCACGTGTGTGTGCGCATGTCCAAAATCCCAAGAGGAGAATGGAAGAAAAGGGATTGTGGTGTTGCTAGTTCCCCCTAGGAGGTGACTTCTTACTTTTTGTCTCTTTGCCTCTCTGGTGAGTACATGTGCCCTATACCAAAAATCTCTGAAAAAAAATTTTTTTAAAGCCACAATGAATTATCCATGACTGATTTTCTACAACTCCTTTAAAAAAAAAAACTGACGGGCTGGCAGGTGATGTGGTGGATAAAGCTACTTGATTCCTGCATGGCCGACCACAGTTTGAGGCCCAGACCTGGTGGCTTGCTTTTTTGCTTTCTCTTTCTCACTGTCTGTCTCTGTCTGGTCAGATTAAGAAATAATAATAACAAATGGAATTAAATAAATAAATAATTTTTAAATAAGATGGAACGAAAACTGATAATACCAAATGCTGGTGGACATGGCTGAATTAGTGGGACTTAATACATTCCTGATAGGTAAGTGTACCTTTAAAAAAAAAAAATTAGTGAAGTACTTGGTTGGTTGGTCGGTTGATTGGTTGTGATTTTCAAGCCACCTGATCCAGGAGTCGAACCATTGTCAGCACTGTGAGCATCTAGCACCTTAACCACCACATTACCTGCTGGCCCCGGGAAAGTGTACCTTTGTCATACAATCTGACCGTCCCATGCTAGATTTTTACATTAAAGTGGAATTAAAACATATCCAAACAAAAATCTGTATGTGATGTTCGCAGTGGCTTTATTTATCACTTCCTTTGATTTTTCTAAAATCAAGTATCGAAGCAGAATGTCAAATTAACCAATTAGCAGCTTTTTTTTCTGTATAATTTCCTTTCTCTCTTTTCTCATCTCCCTTATCTTCTGTCTTCTCTTCTTCCTTCCCCTTGTTTTCACTTGGTGTAGCAATTTCTTGCTGCAAAATATTTAGATTAGCAAAACTAGTTGTAGAATACAATTTAATGATGTCTTCAGGTGCTGTTTGTCCAGAGGCCTCCACAGGGTAGTATCATTGTTGATCAGAGTTCTGAGTACTGAGTCTGGCTTTCAGCCCTAGTCTCGCCAGCTTGAGTTTTTGTTGTTGTTGTTGTTGTTTGTTTTTGTTTTTTAATTTATTTATTTTACATTCATTCACTGAGTATCATCACAGCATACAAAATGTGATTTCCCATCCAGAATACATTGTATAGTGGTTTAATCATAAATGTTATTGACATTTCTTGTTTCATATATATATGTATATATATATTTTTCCCCCTATTTCTCACCCCCTGCCATTTCCCACCCTCCTCCCACACTATATCTGGTATTAACAGTTGCTTTCCAGTTCTTCTCCCCCTCCATATTTTATTGATTCACAAAATATCTTAATCTATTTTCAAAGCAAATTCAGCTGATATATACATATCTGTGAATACATGTAAGACTTTAGGCATTAAGGTCTAAGTAGGATGAATATACTATAAAGTAGCACCTAACTGATGCTAGATAGTTTACTGCAATCATTAAATAGGTTTTTTTAATATTTTTTTAATTTCAAGAAAATCAGTTTTAGCTTTAATAAATCAAAATTATTAAAGACTTTATTTTATACATTATTATTAATGAAAATAAGATTTTTTCATTATTCATGAAAAATAAAATTATTAATTTGCTACAGGGCATGCACACTCACGAGAGAGAGAAGAGAGAAAGAGAGAGAGAGAAAGTAAACTGCTAGTTTTAGGACTCAAACAGTAGTTAGTCCACCATGTGGGAGTCTAGTGCGTTTGTCACTATGCCACCTGCTGGCCCTGCAGCTTGATTTTGACAGTATAATGTTGCATATCCATTTCTAATGTGAGAAAAATCTTATTTTAACCAAACTAGACAGACTGATGTATAATGCTTGTTTATAAATTTGCTAAAAGAAATACCTGTCTAACAGGGTAGTGATCTCTCTGGTAAGTGGGACTGGAACCTGGTAAATATGGGAATAGATGAGGATTTTTGATGTATTAATAATTTGAATGTTTTAGAGTCACCAGGCAGATTCAGCAGGTAGCATAGTGGTTAAGATGTTGGGCTCCTATATGGCCCATTGAGGTTCAAGTCCCGGACCTGGAGGCTGGCTTTCTTGCTTTCTCTCTCTGTTTGTCTGTCTCTCTCTGGTGAGTGCACATGCCCTATAGCAAATTTAAAAATAATAAATAAAATTAAATAATTGTTTTTAAAAATTATTATCAGGCATAGGACTTAGAGCTTCAGTCATAAATAATTTCTCTTCTAATGAGAGCTTTCATTGTTTTGATATGTTAAAACCTTCCATTTTACATTGGTCCACAGAACTAGCAGCAAATGTTCACAGTATAGTTCAGGATCTGCCAAACAAAAGTTCTTATGGACTCAAAGGTATGAATGTTTTATTTTAGAAATTTACTTGGTAAGACTCTTATAAAATGACTATACTGTTTTCTATTTTATGAAGATAAGCTAATAAAAATTTATCAGATAAATATTTATAAATGATATTTTACAAAAACTTGATAAGATAAAGTTATAAACAGGCTTTTAAAGTGCCATAAAATTTTGCATCATCATTTTTGTTTTGTCTAAGTTTTTTTCCTTTTCTGGATTTTTGTTAGACCATTAATATCAAATTCAGTTGAAAACAAAGTATCTCAGATTTATTGTTTTAGCAGAAAATAATTTATTATCACTGAAATTTTCTCATATTTTGGGAGGTATGGGTCTGTGGATCTAACATTCAGTTATGTGGACCAACTCCTTAACTGTAAAATTTAAAATTCCAACGTAGGACAAAGACCTGAGTGAACCTGTACGCATCTTTTTTTTTTTTTCTAATGTTTTTAAATTTACATTTTATTACATGTCTTTACAGTATACATTTCTTTTTCCAACACAAATACCATGCATGTCAGTCAAGACAAGGATATTTCTATATGAATTATAATCATCAAATAGCTTCTCATTTTTTGTCAGTTAAGCATACTTTTACCCATTTTTTCTTTCCCTTTTTCCCTCCCCTTCCATACTAAATTTTTTTTCCTCCCACATTTTATTAATTCACAAAAGATCTTAAAGTATGGACAAAGCTAGAATCTAGTGGCAAGTGCACTGTAATTTTCTTCTGAAACAATTTTTTTTCTCTATCCATTTCCTCTTTTACTAAAGAGAGATATAAAATAACTTATTTGCAAAAAAAAATAATAATAATTAGGTTAACTTCAATTTGGTCTGTTACAAATAGCTCCATGAGAAGTCAATTTCTGATGCAAGGCAACACATAGTATTGTATTATAGAACTTAACACAAATAACCATTCTGCTACAAAATAAGAACTCTCACAAATATCTTCCAATTTCAGAGGGGGGGCTCAGAAAGGGAGGAAAGTTTGTTTCAGTTTAAAAAAACTCTTTGTTTAACAAATTGCTGAACCTGAAAAGTCAAAAGAAAACAAGAATCCTTACACCTGGAAGACAAAACAAGAAAATCAGTAAAGTTTTCGAAAAAAGTCATAGAATTCTACTTCACCAGTTCAGTCTCCTGTAATCTCTCTTTTGTTGAATTTGCAATGTTACTGTGATCTGAACTTTCTGTTAACATTCAACATTATTATTGATATTTCAGAACTTGTCCCTACCATTAAGTTGGCCTTTTTCTTGGTCATGTTTTGTTCTCTTATTTGTCTGTCTGTCCTTAGTTTTCTTGGTACAGTACTCCCTTCATAACTTCTCGAAGAGCTAGTCTGGTGTTGGTAAATTCTTCAGGTTTTGTTTATCTGAGAATGTTCGTATGTTCTCTTCCCGCATGAAGGATTATCTTACTGGACACAGTGTTTTTGGTTGAAATTGTTTTTCACTTAACACTTTGAATATATTTTCCCATTCTTTCTTTGATGGCACTGTTTCTGATGAGAGGACCAACATTAGCCTGATGGGATATCCTTTGAAAATAACTTGACATTTTTCTCTTGCCAATTTTAGTATCTTATCTCTGTCTGTGGTTTTGGTCAATCTGGCTATGATGTACCTTGGAGATCTTCTTGGGTTGATTCTGTGTGGGGTCCTTTGTATTTCTTGGGTCTGAATATTTTAATGCCTCTGTAGATATCAAAGTTTTCTTTCAGGATTTCATGGAATAGATTTTCAGTGCCCTGATTAGTTTCTTCATCTTCTGGGATACCAATTATCTGAATGTTTGGGCGTCAAATGGTATCTAGTATTATTCATGTATTCTCATTTTTTTGGGGGGGTTATTTTCTCAGTCTTTTTGGTGAATTTTCTAGGTCAGAGGTTCTGTCTTCTCCATCTGCAATTTGATCTTCTACATGATCTATTGACTTTTAATACTATCAAGGGGGACTTTGATTTCCTGTATTACAGCCTTCATCTCTAACAGTTCCATTTGATTCTTTTTTATGGTGTGTATTTCCTCTTTCACATTGTGGAAGAACTTCCTCACTTCCTGGAACTCGTTGTCTTTTCTCCTTCATTTTCTGGAGTTCACTGTCTTTCTTCTCTTGCATCTCTGTTAGCTTTGTCACTGTGAATAGCCTAAATTCTTTATCTGACATTTCCACAAGTACTATCTGGATAATGAAGGGTTGTTCTTTCTCCTTGGGGGAGAGGTATTTTCTTGATTTCTCATAGTTCTTGTGCATTTGTGGTGGTGGTTTCTGGTCATCTGATACAGTACTTCCTACTTTCTTGTAGTTAATTCTGAGTACTAGAGGCGTGCAGAAGGAGATGGCCTGCAGCATTTTTCTGTGGTTCTGTTTCCCTGGTCTTTAAACAAGCAACCTGCACTAGCTTTTTTCTCTGGGTGTTAGGCCAGAATGAAGGGTTTGGGGCAGTAACTTTCTGGTTAAAGGGGCAAGGCTAGGCCCACCTCAGATACACATGGATTCTGGCTTTTCACTGGGTGTTGGGCGGGAAGGAGCAACCTGTACACATTTTTATCTGATGTCTGGCATATTTTATAGTCTCTAAGTGTAGTGGGTCACACAATAGCTTGCTCCTGGCTTCTGAAATGGGGCTTTCCCTGTATTTCTGGATGTACCATTCTATTACGTTACATATCTGCTGCCAGCTCTTTTTCTTGGCATGGTTTTCCTGAAGGCTACATACTACATCTTTTGCCTGCTTTCAAATGTCTTTAGAGTCTCACCAATTCTACATGTTCAAATTTATGTTTAATTATTTTCCAAATACTGCTCTTCAAGTGGTATGCTAGTCTCTGCTGGTCCCATAAAGTTTTTTTGTTTTTGTTTTTGTTTTTTAAAGAGGTTTTCGCCCTTGAGCATGTGCTTTGGCCAGACAGAGAGACACAGTGAGAGGGAGAGTGTGAGAAATCCCCTATTGGGATGACCACACTGCAATCCCTTTTTCTCTACTCTCCTCCTAAGAATTTGAGCATACATGCACATGTGCCTGATGTTAGTTTCAAGCTGCTGGTCTGAGACTCAAATCACGATCAGCCATGTGGGTGTCCAGCGATGTAACTACTATGCCATCTGCTGGCCCCAGAAAGTTTTTTTTTTTTTTTTTTGAGGTTTTTGCTATAGGGTGTGTGCGCTCGCCAGACAGCAAACAGAGAGACAGAAAGTGAGAAATCACCCCCCAGGGGGGATGGCCACACCACAATCCCTTTTTCTCCATTCTCCTTTTGGGATCTTGGGCACGCACACACATGTGGCTGGTGGGAGTTTTAAGCCACCAGGTCTGGGACATGAACCGTGGTCGACTACATGGGAGTCCAGCGACATAACCATTACGCTAACTGCTGGTCCCAGAAAGTATGTTTTAAACTGTACCGTATTTTTAATATTCTCTCTATACGTTTTATATATATATATATATATTTTTTTTTTTTTGGAGAGGTTTTTGCTATAGGGTACGTGCGCTTGCCAGACAGACAGAGAAATCAAAGTGAGAAATCACCCCCCTGGGGGGATGGTCACGCTGCAATCCCTTCTCCTCTCGGGATCTTGGGTACGCCCGCATACGCGCCCGGCGTGAGTTTTAAGCCACCGGGTCCGGGACGCAAACCACGGTTGACTATGTGGGAGTCCAGTGACATAGCCATTACGCTAACTGCTGGTCCCCGTTTTATAATTCTTCATCATTGTTTTTTACTTGGTAATATCCTTTCTTTCTTTTTCTTTTTTTTTTACGTCTCATCTGTCAGATCACCTAGCCTTCAAGGTTTTTGTTGTGCTCTATCTTCCCTATGAAACTTAACCATCCTTTTATGAACTTCTTCATCTTCCAAATTTGGTCAGTTCTATGAAATTTATTATTTAATCACAGGCAAAATTTTGTTATTTCAATGCATACAATATCTTAACATGCATTTGGATTTTAAAAGTTGTAGGGGTGGGAGGGAATCTATCCTACGAAAAAGCATGTAACAGTCACAAGAATGGAAATTTATTGTGTGTTGTAATATTTTTTACTTGCTTGAGATGCTATGCATTTATGCTTTGAGAACCCATATTATATGCTGTAAAGATGTACAATGAATAAATTAAATATAATATATACATAAAAAATGTAAATTATTTAATTTACCGCATTCCTACTGTTGGAAAAATGGAATGTGCACTTGTCCTTCAGTAATGGAAACATTATTTCACAGTATACAATAAAGAATAATTTGGAATAAGACTGTATTTGACTTTATAATATAAACTTTGATTGTTTTTCCCCAACAGGGGCCTGGAAGAATTCTGTAGAGGAGTGGACAACAGAAGACTGGACTGAAGATGTAAGTTTTTGGTATCAAATCAGATTCATCTTTCTTTTTTGTCAGGTGGAGGTGTCTGTGCATGGAAGAAAGCCTGAAATGTCTTATCTTGGCCCCATTTCTGACATTTGTCCTAGCCATGTTCTTAGAGTCATAAGATATTTTCAAAGGGAAGTTCTTGGTTTCAGTTTTTGTTGTTGTTTTTAGATTTTTTTGCCATAGGACACATGTTCTAGCGAAAGAGGGGGAAAGTGAGAAATCACTCCCCCAGGAGGGCGTGGGGATGGCCATGCCTTAATCCCTTCTTCATTCTTCTCTTAGGATTTCAGGTACACACGCACAAATGCCTAGTATATTTTCTAAGCTGCTGGGTATGGGACTTGAACTGTGTAATCGGCTATGTAGGATGAGAAAAAAAAATACTCAAGGGAAAGAATTAATGGGTTTTAAGTACCAACCTTCAAAATTATATAAATCGATCCAGATTTTGTGATTTATTATTTATTATTTTTCTGTGTCTATTTTATATGTTTCCATTTATGTTGTCAGGAACTTCTTGGAATGGAAAACAGGAAGCTGACTTGTTTAATGACCTTAAATAGGACACAGATCCTCAAGTCTTGGTTATTTTTCCTTGTGAAAAGAGGATTGGGTACTTCCTATTATTTGGCTCCCAGTTCATGTTCAACAATACTGCAGCATACATTTATTTTTACCTTATAAAATTAGGTACTATTAATGTTCTTAACTCATGAGTGTTTTTTTAGAACTTTGCACTTACGCTTCTGTTCTCTTTTTAGCAATATGGCTTGTTAGGGAGTCAGTTGGATAGAATATGACAAAGAAGAAGAGTAGATGTGTTCATTTTTATCAGATTTTAGGAGATTTAGGGTATATTTTCACTGCTGCTACATACTTACCTAACGTTAGGGGCATGATACCATCTGACTCTGGCTCAGTATCATTCAGGTATGATGTTACTCGTCACAAGGGGGGCTAGGTTAGAAAAATGGGATAGGCCTCAGTGTTAAAGGGAAGTCAAAGTGCTGCCTGTGGACACCTTACTTTATTTGAAACAGGGTTGTCCAACTTGTAAGTGTTTTCATTATTTGGTATTTTGTTAAGATTTTGTTGGTTGGGGGGGATTTGTCCCAGGGGTAAGAGCTTTACATCTCTTTGATTGTCAGTCAGCAGGCAGGTTAGACTATCAGCAGGAGATCAGAAGGCAAGACCAGTATTTAGATTCTAGCTGTGTTGACCTTGGAGAAAGCATCTTTTCATGTTGAGCCTCCTATTTTTCAGCTATATTATGAGGAAAATAGCTATACCCACACAGTTTTTCTGTCGACCAGGTGAAGTCTTAGGAAAGTCTGATAACAAGTAATTACACATGCAAAGAGACGTTACTATTGTGCTGTCATAATATATGTAATTCCTGAAGAGTTACATAGAGAGTTTGGGCATCTCCTTTTCCAAAGAGTCATCAATAATTTTGTATTTTTCTGAGGTGATACTAAGTAATATTTATTGACAGGAATAATCTAAAATGTGGATTCTCAAAACAAAATAATGTAAATTTAGGGCTGGCCCCATAGCCTAGTGGTTAAAGTGAGCTGGATCCCACACAGCTGACTGTGGTTTGAATCCTGGACTGATGGCTTAGAAAACATACTGGGCACATGTGTATGAATGTTCAAAGTCAAGGTGGAGAAATGGATGATACAGGATTGCATTGTGACCATGTTCTATTTGTGGGGGTGGGCTTTCTCACACACTCTCTCGTTTTCTTTGTTGTGTTCTCTGGTGAGTGCACATGCCCTCTACCAATTAAAAAATAAACATGAATTCTAAATTCCTTCTAAACCTTAGAACAATAACTCTCCCCTCCTACCATTAATTTATTTGATTGTTTTTGATAAAGACTTTTGCCTTAGGATGTATGTTCTCTGGAGAGACAGAGACAGAGAGAAAGTGAGAAATCACCCCCCCGGGGGTTGGCCATACTGCAGTCCCTTCTCATCCATTCTCCTCCTGGGATCTTGGGCACACATGCACATGCGACCAGCATGAGTCTCAAGCCATCAGGTCTGGGACTTGAACCGTGGTTGGCCATATGAGAGTCCAGTGACAAAACTACTATATCATCTGCTGTTCTCCCACCCACCCACTACCATTTTTAAAGAAAGAAGGAAACAATCCAGTGTTCTGTATTTTACCAGTGTTAGATACGGTGTCACTACTTTTAGCGATTCTCATTTACCTTGAATTTCATATGTATAACTCTTTAGATTCAGATTTACTTGGTGATTGATTTTTACTGTATTCTCTTATTGGTTCTCTCATTTTATTTCTTTTTCTTTTTTAAAATTTGCTAGAGGGTGTTTGAGCTTGCTAGAGAAAGAAATATATAGAGAGAAAGTGAGAAAGAACACTCATGGGGGATGGCCATTCCACAGTCTCCTCTTTTCCATTCTTCTCTCTGGATTTTGAGCACACACATGTCAGGCATGTTTCTCTAGCTGCTAGATCTAGGACTTGAACTAGGTAGTCACTCATGTGAGATAGAACAGTTCTTTTTTTTTTAATTTATTTTAATTAATTAATTAATTTTTAAATTTTCATGCCAGAATATGTATGCATGTACCAGACAGAGAGAGAGAAAGCATCTCCCCTCCATAGGGCCTGGTATTCCTCCATCCCATTTCCTCTGTTCATCCTTCCCATTAGTATCCTGGGCAGGCTATATACATATACCTAGGCCTGGAATTATTTTTTAACATTATTTATTATTATTTTAAAAGGAACATGTGGTCAACAGAGAGAGACAAAGAGAGATAGAGAGAGAAAGTTAGAAAGCAAGCCACCAGGTCTAGTACTGAAATCATGGTCAACCACATGTGGGAATCCAACACCTTAACCACCACACCGCGTGCTGGCCCTGAGAAATGGGTTTCAAATTGAAGGGTCTTGTGGGATATGCTCCTCCCCACACAGCATTTTCTTTTTTAATTAATTTTTTTAGAGAGATTCTTGCTCTAGGGCACGTGCACTCACCAGAGACAAGAGAATGAAAAATCATCCCTCAATGGGGGTGGCCATACAGCAATCCATTCTCCTTTATTTTGGGCATGCACACATGTACCTGGCGTGTTTTAAGCCGCTGGGTCCAGGACTCAAACTACGTAACCATTATGCCATCTACTGGCCCCCCTCAACGCAGCACTTAACCACTGCTCAATGGGACTGATCCTGCTGCACTCTTTTTCTTAATTCTATTTAATTTTTAAATTTCTTCAAGGTAAAGATGGATTCTTTGGGATTCTTTACTATCCTGGCCCTTCTTGTTGAGTCAGTCATCAGTTTAGCACTTTTTGTCGTTCAAGAAAATGGACATCTACTGTCTGATCTCTCTCTGCTTACATATTACTGTCTCAGAAAGTCTGAGTTTATACAGTGTTTCAGTTTTAAGACATTTAAGGTTGATAATTATAGGAAACTTGAATAGCATTTTAATTTGTTTACCATGTTATCTCATCAGATCATTTTCCAGCTTTTCAAAGCCTTCTCCCTATGTTGGAAAAATGAAAAGAACATATGTCATTAATTTATGTCAGTTGAGGTTTCAGAAAATTTATCCTTAGTACCCTACAAGTTAAAACAGTATGGACGAATCTCACAATAATTATACTGAGTGTGAGAAGCCATACATAAAAGCGAATACTTGGGACCAGCAGATGGTATAATGGTTATATCACTGGACTCCCACATGGCCTACTTACTGTGTTTCAAGTCCTGAACCAGAGGCTTGAAACTCACATCGGGCGTGTGTGTGTGCATGCCCAAAGATCCTGAGAGGAGGATGGAGGATAAGGAATTGTGGCATGGTTCTCTCCCCTGGGGTGGGGGGTGATTTCTCACTTTCTATCTCTGTTTCTCCAGCGAGCACATGTGCCCTGTAGCAAAAATCTCTCTTAAAAAAATGAATATTTTATGATTTCATTTAAAATTATAGAAAATGCATTTAATAATCTATATCTAATATAATCTAATATCTAATATAATCTATAGTGACAGAACTTTTGCCTCTGGTTGCCTGGGTATGGAAGCAAGTAGTGGGAGTAAGGAATTATAGGGAAAAAATCCAGCTAGTAAAGAAATCTGTTCATTGGTTTGATTATGGTGATGATTTCCTTAGGGTATGCATGTGCCAAAATGCACTCAGTTATTTAGTTTGAGCATTTAAATTTATTATTTGCGTTATACCTCAGTGAAATTATTTTTAATAATTTTAAAGTGTCTTTATTTCTTGCATTAGTGAAAGAGACAGGCACATCTGTGCCTGGTATGTTTAGAGAGGTCTTCAGACGTGGACCTTCCCATGTTGATCAGATTTACAGAATGTTAGATTACTGCTTTGCTGATGTTTGGCCCCAAAAATATTTCTTTTTAAATAAAATAAAGTTATTTTAATAAAAATTAAAATGAAATGTAAATTGCTAATTAAAGATGTACAGAAGACAAATGTCTTGGTGACAAAAGCATCAGTTACTTTATCATTTCAAACTTGTCTTTTTTGTGCCATTTTTTGGTAACATTGTTGGCTTTATTGGTTGGTATTCTTGTATTGTGGCAAATAGAATAGTGAGACTAGTACTTTGGACTTGAACCCTAGTTTGGCTTTATTTCACTACGTTTTTATTTTTTAAAGAATTATTTAACATAAATAATGTTAATTTGACCAGAGAAGGACAAAGTGAGAGAGAGAGAGAGAGAGAGAAAGAAAAAGCAAGCCCCCAGGTTGGAATCCAGTGCCCTTAACAACCACTCCACTTAGTGATCTGTTTTTGTATGCAAAAATGCTTCATGACTTTCCTGATGACCCAATATTTCACAGTGCTTTGTTTGCCTATTATGAAGTCATTCTTGGAAGATTATTCAGTCTAAAATTACCTTCAGTAAAGAAAATGACTTATCCTGCTCACTTGTGTGCTTCCTTTATAGTTAGAACATTGTTTTGGTGAATTGTGAGTACTGATAACTAACAGTTGCCAGGAATTCAATATATTTTTTATCTTGTTTTATATATAGTAAGATTAAAAATTTATTTTCAACTCTTCACGCAGCTGTCTGAAACAAAGGTGTTCACTGCCTCATCTGTTCCAGCAGAGAACCACATTACAGCTGGGCAAAGGTAAACACTTTTGCCATCTTTTGTTATTCAAAGCACAATTGAAATTTTTTGCTTCAGGAAAAGTATTTTCATATTTGGGTCTCTTTCATTTTTTTTCCCCCATTTCTTCTAGGGATAAAGCCGATTAGGTGACAGAGCTTTAGTCATTTCCTAATTGGTTGCATCCACTGATGAATTAAATAGCAGTTATTTTTGTGGCTTGTTAGCAATTGTCGCAGAGATTATGTGAAGCCTTTTTCACTGGTTCTTTTCATTTCTTTAAACCTTTTTGTTTATTCTAGACAGAATGAAGTT